CAAGTTCCTTGTGGTTGGGGTCATCGGAGGACAGGTCATTGAAGAATGCGGAAGACCGTCCCGGAGGCAAAGGGATCAATGCGGCGAAGTCCATCGTACCCAGGAAGCCATGGGTGAGAGGAACAGGTTTAGGCATGCCTGCTGAAAGTGTTAGCCCTATAATCCATCCGGATCAGGCGCTTCAGATGTACTGTACCGGTTGTTCCAGAACTATGGATTATGAAAGCAATCTTGTCCACCACCTCATCATAGGTCTGGGAGAACTCGAAGTGATTCGTGCCACTTCCATTGTTGAGGATGTCCGCCACAGATGGCACCTCTTGGAACTTCATCTTCCAGTCCAAGGTTCTCAGCCTGGAAGCAATCTTGAACTTCTCTTGGCTGAAAAGCAGATGCGTGCACTTTGTTTCCTTGAGAACATGGTTGTATGCCTCATCCGACAGCCGAGTGGAAGGTAGAAAGATCTATAAGCAGATTCAATTATTGGTGATTAATCGCAATCCCTTCGTAAAAATAGCACCAGAAAAAACAAACCGTATAGCCTGTCTTATGACACGCGAGCATAAAGATGATGTAGCGCACATCATTGTTCCCCAGATACGCAATCGTTTCTCCCGGTTGCGGTCTGCCCAGAGTGTCGTCAATCCACCAGGACATGGCATTGACTGCGCGGGAGAGATCCCGGAATGTCATATCCCGAAACCCCTGCTCGACTTCGGTGCCATTGGGGATCAGGCCAAATCGTCTGGTCGGAGAATGCTTTGTGATGGTATCGACTTGGGTTACGAGAAGCCTTCCTGGGGCTTTGAACGATCTCGGTGCTGGATTGACGACTCCGACCATGGTCACTTGACACGGGCGTTTGTTTGAAGAAGGGCACTTTGTGCTTGGATGCAGGAGTGGGAGAAAAAGGTCTTTATTGAATGACTAGATAAAATCGATTCCTGTGGCCCTGCCATCTTTAAATAATTTGAGGGGACGGACACTGTGTAAAGACGGGCGAGATGAGGCTTTTTCCCCGTTTCGCCATCTTGTATGCTGCTTTCATCCCTCACAGCGCATTGTTGTGATTCACCCGTGCAGATCATGGTTGCATTCACATATAGTCGGTGACGGAGACTTAGGATGAAGCGGTTATACACAGGATCGGGTGCATAAAAGTTCCATCGGTATAAGTGGGTCGGCTAATACTGCCGAGCCAGGGTACGTGGAGATCGCCTTGTACACCCAATGCAGTGCATATCTATGCTCAATCTCCGTAGAATCCTGAGACAAGGTGCGAATACGTCACCCGGCCTGAAGATCAGTGCCCAATACGGATAACACTGCAGGAACAAGCTCTTATGGAAAACAGTCTACATTCCACTGGAGCTTCACGACTGATTGGTGCAGCAACCGAGGATACGTACTAGTAATGCTTGAATATTCCTTCATACTCTACTGACTGGCCTACATATGCCCAACAAGCACCGAAGGAAATCAGCAGAAGATGACCACCACGCAATACCTATCTACTAGCTAGTTTGTTCTCCATATCGGCGGCCCATGCGACCGCATTCTTTCTAAACAACCAGATAATCCCGATACTCGCCCAGCCGATGACCGCCAATCCAGTAAAGATCCACCGGGGTCCAATGGCATCGATCAACGGTTGCATGACCACCACCACGACACACGCAAGGGCATTGCGCAGCACATTGTTCAGCGCCACGCCAGTGCTGGTCCGCCCGGGCAGTAATTCCGTCAGCATAGTCAACGTCATGCTGAAGACTGTGCTGCTTCCGAGGCCGAAGAAGAACGTCGCAATGCACTGCATAGTAGTTAGGAGAGATTATCAGCACCAACCCTGATGATCAACATGGCCATAAGAGTAGATGCTTACCGGAACGAGCCAGAAGATGCCTTTATCGATCGTCCAGCCGAACCACAGCCCCGCCGCCGGGTACATCACCGAGGCCAGCCACGCGTTCTCCCCCATCCGATCCCCAGGAAGGTACTGGATCTGGCCGGTCTCCGGATTCACCCTCCCGGCGGATTTCGCCCGTCGCCGCATAATGTGGTCGGTCCACCGGCCGCCCAGCAGCGAGGCCACGATCGAGCCCAGGGCGCACGGGATGTAGACGAGGCCAACGATGATGGGCGAGAAGGAATACGGGGCCTCGGAGAAGAGGGTTTGCAGGGTGATGCTGACGGCATAGTAGCAGGCGAACGTGCTGCTGGCGTAGTAAACGGTGAGCAGGACCGGTGGGAACTGCAAGTACGCCAGGATCTTGAACGGCTCGAGGAAGATGCTGACGATACGGTGGACTTGCGACAGGATCGCCTTGGAGCCTTCTTGGCTGCTGCAAGAAGAGGAGGGTGGCTTACGAGCAGCAGCCTGAGAGGTTTCAGGGAGACAAAAGAGAATGAGAAGCCAGACAATGGCGCCATAGACAACGGTGGCCCATTGAGTGGCGCGCCAGCCGAGCTTCTCAGTCAGGATACCCCCGAGGATGGGAGATACCAGTGGACCGACCATCGGCCCCAGAAAGAAATATCCCATGGCTTGTCCGCGCCTTTCCACTTCCCAGAGGTCGGCCACGGTTCCTGCCCCTACCGCTTGCACTGAGGCCGATGCCCCTCCGCATAAAACCCGCATGACAATCAGCATGCTGATTGAGATGCTTTCTGCCGAGACCACATTCCACACCACGAAGATTGCAAAGGAGATCAGGTAGACCGGGCGTCGGCCGTACAGCTCTGAGATGACCGACCACCAGAGCGGGATAATCCCCATGGCCAGGATGTAGAATGCGACGGACAGGTTTACCAGTGATCGGGAGACTTGGAAGTAAGTGGAGATTTCCGACAGCGCGGCTGTTTGGATGGATTTTTGTCAGTTGCGTTGAGACTGAATGCTTTGGATATCGAGTAGATCGACGAAAACTCACGCAATAAGATATTGCTTTGAAGTGGTGCCGCGACGGCAGCCAGGGAGACAATCCCGGTGAAGAAATACCTCTTCCACGGCTCGTATTCCTTGGAGTTACATAGAGTGGGAAAGAGGAGGACTCTGTCATAGAAATGCTGCTGGCTTGTAGGCATCGCGCTGGGCGGCGAAACGTCCGGCTGAGAACTCGCCAGCTCGCTGTCTGCCTTGAGAGCATGCTTGACCATGTTGAAAATGACGATAAAAAAGGTCATCCACTGAAGTGACTCAAATCCTAGGACCTCAGCCAAAGCGACCTCTTAATAGAGGTCTTCTGCTGCGCTGGACATTCCAATTCGAAGGGCCCTGCCCAGTAACTGGGCATGAAGTTAGTATAGTGAACTAGCGGAACAACTTAGGGCTTCGACGTCAGCTAGCACGTCTAGACCTAAGCAAAATTAGGACAGCACACTTGCACCTCGGCCTGGGTATTCGAAATTACTGGCAATATTAAACTGGGCAACCGGGCATGCCCACCTGTCAGTTTAGCAGAAGACCTCTCAGAAGAGGTGGAAAATCACTCCGAAACTGCCCCCGCCTCCGCGGAGGTTCCGCGGCCTGTATTCCCCGCTTTGGGGTTAGTGGCCTTTTCCCATAACATTATACCATATGTATGTCAACCCCATCTATTGGAGGAACACCCAATTAGCTGAGCATCATCTATCCTTATATTGATGATATGGTTGGAGATATCGAGATCGTACTCTGCAGCAGCAACGAGACACCCCCGAAACGAACACCTCTGCTTATATGTTTACCGGAAAATCCGAAAATCGCAGTCCCGTGAATATAATGAATTGAGCTATACCTTAGAAATTCCAAATAATCCTAAAAACCCCGAGTACGACTTCGGAATTAGAAGAGAACTTGATGCCTCAAGCTTACTGAGTCAATTTATTGTGTTCACTACTCTCTAGAGGAGAAAAGAGGCGACCACAAACAAATGCACGAACCGCTCTGTCATTTGCGCCGGCGTTGCAGATCGTGCCAGAGCCCCGCCATCCCAGTGCGTGAACTCCCCCTACTTGGTTACAGACTACAGATCGCACAGCGGCGGGCTGCGCCTCATCCAGCGTGCAGTCCGGGGCTTGCCACCTGCGGAGACGGTACCCCTTGCGGTGCTACCATCTTAGTTCCAGTAGCACACCGGTTCAATTCAGTATCTGAAGGATCAAGCCAACGACTACACATGCTCACCATCAAGAAGCTCCAGATCGTGTTCTGTCATTGAGGAGTGCCAAGTGTGTCTGTCCCCTTATATATAGTTCGGGAGCAGTGTAAGTTACTATACTGTACGTCAGGCATGTACCGTACTGTATATAATACAGTATCGCTCAATGTGGAGTAGGCCCCTGTCATGCCGTGCAGCAGCGGGTCCTGCCGCTCGGGTCTTACCCGTTAGTGGTAATTTATGGTAATAGTCCTAACGAGAGTCGAATGGATCACCACCTTACCCATTGTATGGTATCAATACTGTTCGGCACGTGTCACTCAAGACTCTCTTCGAGCAATCCAATCGCTTCGCATAGGCTGCTCATCTATAGAATCTTCTATAGCCTAGCCTATATGTGTCAGTCGGTATGTCGAATGCCTACTCTCATCTCATTTTCGACTGCTTGTCTCAGTTGAGGCCGCGTCACCGACATCGCCCAAGTCGGCGGACATGCTTCTGCCTTGTGTATATCATCACGTACAAAGACTTCAGTGTATACTAGTTGTCTATGCATACAGGCCACGCCAGAGCCTGTGAGCTAACCACGGGTAAGACAAGAGAGTCAAATTGAGAGACAAACGTAGATCCCTCAAGGTCAGCAGGAAGGAGAAATGACAGTCCGATCAAACCGCTTGCTCCGAAAATAAACACAATAGTCTAGTGTATTGTCAAGTTGAAGTCTAAGAATCATCAAGTGACCTAAGGAAACGAATCGTGGGAGTGAAGGGGATTAGTGCCGTGGGCGTTCGTCGATGCATTGCCAGCCTATACTATTCCTTTTCCCCGTGAATGATAACCCACCCATTCCTACCATCTAGATTCTTGCACCTCCACCGTCAAGTAGATCCCCGTGAGCGCGAATTCCTGGCGCAACGAGCGCAGGAGATTTCGATCGACGTACCTCACGTGAACCCCCACTCGTTCCAATCGCGGGAACGAGGCCTGGTGCTGCACCAACCGCGACAGCTGTAACAGCACGTCGATCCAATCATGCTCCTCGACCTCCAGAACGTCCAGCCGCCGCAGCGAAGCGGGGAGGATGTCAACAAGCGACTGCGTCTCCTTTGCCCGGAAGCGGAGAACCCGGGTAGTGGGGGGAGCTTGCAGGAGGTGCACCCACCGTATGCGCAGGACCTCGAGCACGGCGAACTCCCGGAGGCACCCGAACGGCCGCGTGTCGTGGGTGACCGACCGCCAGTCCTCCGCGAATGGGACTTCGACTTGGAGGTGAAGGGTTCGGAGCGTCCTGGTGAACGGGAGGAGCGCGTGTCGGAATTCCGGAGCGTGGAACTTGCGCTTATCCGGCAGATGGCCCTCATCCGGGTGCAGCCTGAAGACAAGAGCGACATGCTCGAGCGCCGGGCTCGCGGCGAGCCAGTCGAGAATGCTGTGGCACCACCACGACGGCCTGATAGTGAACTCGCGCACCGAGCGTGAACAATAGCGGATGTCCCGCGACCAGGTCTCGGTGCCGTCCAGGTCTGACTCGCCCATGGGTCCGCCATTGATCTTTCGGACCGCCGGGAGATAGAAGAAGGGCTGGAGAAATGCCGGATCAACCCATGTATCGGCTGTTTGGGATGAGACGAAGACTGCTTGAAGATGGGGAAAGGGAGGGGTACGGTGGAAGGGTCGCTGGCGCCGTGCGGCCTTGCGCAGAATGTCCGACATCAGCCCCGTGGACCCGTGGGAGAACTCGATGGTTTTCAGATGGGTGGTGCGGACGAGAAGTAGCCCTAACCAGGCCTCCTTGCAGGGGATCAGCAGATGCTCTCTCCATTTGGTCCTCGTGTCTTCTTCCTCTGGCTCGAAGATTTCGTCCAATGCATTGTCGACGAATTCGACCACTTCGTCCCCCACGGTTTCGTCCTCGCTTAGTCCTTTACAGGGTCTACCGTCGCAGCCCAGCCATGAAGCCCCCAAATGACGCACCTGCCTAGCCAGCTCGGGGTGCCTCCAGAGGCGTATAATCAAATGAATGACATGGATAGACCAATCGGGAGTAATGTGATAAAGTAATAAAGGTTGGAACAGTGCATGCAAACGTCGAGAGCACAGGGTCAGCGAGCACAGTGTCTTCGCGGGGCGCCATCGGTCCATAGTGTGCTTTCCGATTTTCAAAAGCAATTCGTTAGGTAGGCGCTCCATGTTGTCTGATGAGTGAGTATCCTCTTCACCTGGGTGTGCGGAATACGTAACTATAGACTTGGGTTCGGTCCGTAAAGTGGTTTTGTGAAATGGAGAAAGGCCCTCTCTTCCCTGCCCCTTGCGTGCTTCTAGGCTACATCAGCCGGGGGGGCATCAGGCATCAGCTGGAGCACATGTATCTCAGGCGAGCGTTTGTCGCTCCAGGTCTGTCAAGAAAGCACTATCTGTGCGGATGTGGACTTCAATGCCTCTTCCAGTTCAGGTTTATGGAGAGGTGCCACAGCTTCTCTATTTTCCTTGAAGTCCTCCAGATACAGGCCATCAGCTCTAAACAGCAACAACAGTACCCACGACTTCAGATGGGTCTTGATTTTGGATAGTAGGCCAAAAAGGCCCTGTGATCTTCCGATCGTCGTCCTGGCTAATAGTCCTGATCATATACTCTAGAATCAGTCTGTTGGCAGAAGTTCCGGTTGTTGATGATATATGTAATCTTTCGAGGGCGGCCGATCCCTATTCCCACGCCACTTCGACCTCATTGTGCGACTCACGAGGGGTGGAGGGGGCTGAACAATGATACTGCACGAACAATATCGTGAATATAAGTCTTCTTTTCTTGAAATTGATGGTTCAGCCCCTATGTTTCTAGCTTGTCAAAGGTAGACCTCGGAGGTTGGAACAGTGCCGCCCAGAGCTGATCGGGCCATTGCTCCCGCCGCGGGTGTGCTGAGGCACCGAATAAATGAAATTCGATATTCCATTGAGAAGCATGATCAAGGATAACGCAGTCGGTTCACGCCCATCAATCATATCTGGAACTTCATGCGTTGAGCCAAATGGAGCGCGAAGGCATTTTCTGGCTGCTCTGAGATAGCTCTGCAAAGATCCTGGCCCACCCTTCCCTTTCGGGACTTATCTCCTCGAAGAATACGTGAGGCATGCGCCAACCCCAGATCGACCAGTTAACAGCTCTCAGTCTCGGTAACAAGGTATCTCAAGCAAGACGATGAGCTCGTCAGCATCCGACAGAAAGACTGTGTGCCTAGATACGGGAGCTGCGCTGCCTTGTCCGAGAAGGCGGTATCAGGATAAGTTCTCTTCATGTGGCCTGAAGAGCTTTGAAGATCGTCTAGGCCCCTGTGTAAGTGATTCCATGGGCTCCGAGAATGCGACGACCCCATCTTGAATAGAATCGATCAAACGGCATGGCTGCACTTCTGGTGAATCCTGCAACCCGAACGCGTGGAAGATGATCCGCGGGAAACGCCGCGTAAGTCTCTGTGAACTGAAGCTAGAGGAATACGATCAGACATATCTCAGCCCACTACCCAACCCACTGAAGGCATGGGCCATTAAGCGACTCATCTGCAGTTGCGGGATATAGATACCTGGCTACCATCTTGTTCTTTCGGTGTAGGTTATGGAGAATGATGAGAGAGACAGACCTGCTCCCAAATTGGATGGCATGTGTACACGATATTGATACCTTGTGTTTTCTGTTGTGAATGTGGTATGAGATGACGGAATAGAGAGAATCTCTGGGCACAAGGTAAGGTTGCAGTTACCTGGAGAGGGTGAATCAGCAGGGTAGTTGCGGTTGTACCGGTTTCCTGCCAGTTACGTTCGACTTTCGAACCCGTTGCTCCATCTAGGAAGGTGATGGTTCTTGAGATAATGTTCAGAACCAAGAGGCAGGAGAGCGAGGTGCGATACCACAAGACAGGGGCTGCATGGTGAGAATGGAGATATCTGGTCCTGAGTGCAGCGTTCAGGGCCTATCAACTTCGTCAACTAAATCTGTCACTCCCTCTCTGGCCATAATAAATCCACCTTGGTACAACACACCTGAAGCTATTTAAAACATCCAAGATCTCTCGCAAGACGACCTCGAGGAGCTTCCAGAAATTTCCAAAACTGTTTCTGTTCGATTTCACACGACTTATGTATCATATTCAACCAGTCTGCATCCCAACAGGCTTCCACAACACGTCTATAGGTATAATCAGGGTAATAAATCATTAGTTACAGATGTAGGAAAGACCTTCACCCTGCCCCGGTCTTTACCTCTCTTCATGATAAGATCGACGAAACAGAACAACTTCAGGGCAAAGACTAGCCAGAGGGGTATGCAAACGCCGCAAGGGAATTAAAGGGAGAGCGGATAACAGCAACAGAAAGTAGAATACAACGCAACCATCATCGGGCATGCCACGAAAGACTGAACATGAAAATCGACCAAGTATATTATAAACGGTTCGTATACCACTCCTGTCTGTACAACTCCCGCGCACGTATCGGGGAGAATGGTCGAAGAACCCCCTCGTCTGCGTTGGATCCGGGTGAATCACAAAAACAAGCCCAAGTTGAGTGTTGTGGATGATCCGTGTTGGCTCCGAGGGGTAATACGAGAAACCGGTAGGAAATTAGTGCTGTCGTATCACAAGACTCCTTTCGTGTCGATTTGGTGACTGGAAAATCGAGTTCCGAGCTCGAGTCAGTCAACGTTATTGAAACAAATTCAATTGAGTACGAATACCCCGGCATTGCGGCGGACACAAAACAATGCGGTCGCACCACCACCACCACCACCTTACCACCATGGATCGATGCTGCATGTAACTTTGGTAGGAGTGAACCAATTGACCTGCAGTCTTCAAGATTCCATCCATGGTACATAGCTGCCTTCGGACCACGACTCAGGATGACAGAAATCCATGCCACACTGATTCGCAAGCTAAGCTTTCTCCTCTGCAAGCTGAAGCCTACCATCAGCTCTCGTGTCCAATGATGCTCGAGTTAAGCCGAAAGTATCTCTTCCCTCCCGCGGTAAAGGCGCAACACACCAATCTCAACTGATGATCTGTCTTGCACCTTCTTTGCCCAGAACACCAGGTTCTTGGGGCTTGGGACTCCTATCACGTCCCTTTTTCCGACTCAGAAAAGCAAGCATGCCGCTGTTCGAGCCTTTGCCTTTACCGGTTACGGTGTCGTATCCTTCAGCCGGGAGAGTCGAGCTATGGTCCGCGAGCTCACTCCAACTTCCGGCTTCCTCTAATACCATCTGAACGCCGCCACCTTTGCTAGCTTTCCGTGTTGCGCCCCGTGGACGACCAGCTGCGGGTGGTGGTAGCGGTCTGCTGAAAGAAGGAGCTGGGGCCGGGGGCGGCGGTGGCGGTGGTGGTAGGGATTGCGATTGCTGAGAAGTCGGGGTCTCGCTCAGGGGGGATGGTGTATCGGGCTGGGTCAAGTGACCGACGGACCCTTCGTTCCGTGGAGGCGGTGAGTTTCTTGAGAGATCAGGTTGTGAGACTTGCCGTGTGTGGGCGGATGCGGATTGAATGGGAAGGCATTCTTCGGGGTTTCTAGCGTGAAGTTAGCCACGGGTTCGGCCCCCCTAACAGAGACGAGGATTCGAATACTCACGATGAATTGGCAATAGCTTCGGCGGCGCTTCTAGACTTTCGGTTAGCGGACCACATACCACTTATTAAATAACAACTGCTGTCGATAACGACGTTGACGTTGACGTTGACGTAGACGTAGACGTAGACGTACCCATTGTAAGACACCCGAGTATAATCGAAGGGCTCAAACATCGTCTCAATGAGGCGATGTAGCTCATCCTCCCGGATCTCCTTCGCCGTGGCGTCTTCCCGCAACTCCGCCCGCGGTTTCTGTCGGCGGGCCCTGGCCTCGAGCGGCGCCTCTTCCAAAAGTAATTCTTCCAGGTCGTACGTTGCATCAAAATTGGTCTTGTCGCTGGATGGTCGAAACACGGGGGGAATTTCCTTTCTTTCCAGGGCCTCGAAATCGATGTCGGCAAAGAACATGTGCGAAGTAAATGTCTCGAAGCCGGTAGCTCCAATTCGTTTCGAACGGTCCTTTTCCATCAGGGCGGATAACGCTCTAAGACACGGGACTGAGACGGCTGGGTTTGTGACGTAGTACTTCGGTTGCGCCTTTTTGATGTTTTCGCTGAGCACGTCCTGGCTGCGGCCCTCGAATGGACGCTGGCATGGGAATTAGCTTGCCAACTCAGCCCTGTTCCAAGGATCACTCCACAAACCTTGTTATAAATACATTCATAAAAGGTCACGCCAAGCGACCACCAATCGACTTCGCTGTAGTATCCGCCTCCTTCGTAAACCTCGGGGGCCAGATAGGCCAGAGTGCCAGATTTACTCGTGAGGGGCTTGCCGGGCCGAAAGTCAGAGGCCACATTCTGGAGGATAAGGTCAGCAAAAGAAAATACAAGGAAGAAACCACACTCTTCCAGCTCCTGAGGAGAAACATACGAAATCGGCCAAATGCACGTGTCCTTCGGAGTCTAATAGCACATTGTCGGGCTTCACGTCACGATGGATAATACCCTGCGAATGAATGTACCGCAGAGCACAGCCCAGTTCCGCCGCCCAAAATCGTACAGCTTCTTCGGTGAAGCACTTTCTTGAGATATGGAATCGCAGATCGCCGCCATTCATCAAATCGACCACAATGTAACTTCGGGGATATCAGTAACTGAATCGCATTGAGAGAGCTCTTGTGAGACGCACATATATTCGATATCTTGGAAGCTGTATCTCAAGTTGCAAAGGAAGGCATGGTTGAGATGTTCCAGCATGCGTCGTTCACGGATGATGTTTCGTACGCTCTCCGACCGGACCACTAGACACCGCAAAAGGAAGAAATTGTCAGCAGGGAGTCGCGGGTGCTTGGTTGGTTAGCGAAGTCATACCTTCTTCTTTCCGGATGTATTTCAAAGCGAATGTCAAGCCCGTGTCCTTCTTCTCCACGATGCGGACCTTTCCAAAAGCGCCTTTTCCTACCACCCGTAGCAGGCGGAACTGATTCAAGTTCACTGCATGCAACAATCAGTATCA